GCTCATTTTGCACATGCATAATTGCACACACTGCTGAGTATTTGCACTCCACAGCTCCCACATAGCATATATTCTCTTTGCATTATATTGTGTTCTTGTATTTTTGCTTCCTTCACTTGCTGCTTTAAAGTGCCTTAGATTTGTGATTTTACTGCCTATTTAGATTTGTGTTATTGCTGATCTACTTTATATTTCACTTGTGTTATGTGGCATTCATGTGGACGAAAAAGTAAGAATTTTATTGTACAGGGAAACACGTTTCCTAACTGTGCATATGACACTTTGACCTACAGACTTTTCAGAATATTTATCCCATCAATTTGGGTGATCCCCTGATGTTTCATTTAGCACCATCATCGTGCCAGTTTTGATTTGTCAAATACTTTGACTAAATATCTGCAAAACTAATGACATTCCCAACAGCCTCTTTGTATATAGTGCCAATTAGCAAATGTTAGCATGCTAATAGGCTAAATTATGATGGTGAACAGATGTTACCTGTTAAATAAAGTCTTAACACTGTCACTGTGAACAGGTTAGCATGAAAACCACTGGTATTCTGACCATAATCATTTTAATATTTACTTCATGACTTCTTAACTGCTAAGAATCTAATAAAGTACTGGAATTTATTTTATCCATTTTACAGTTTGGCTTTCTTCATGCTAATGTCAGGTTTGCTACCACTACCTGTCTCTTTCTCTCTCTCTATCTCTCCCACAACCTCTCCTCAGCTCCAGTCTTCCAGGGGTTGACTCACAACTGTTGTAAATCCCCTGATAACAAGCGCAGCTGTAGAACATCTCCTGAGTACAAGCATTCCTACTCAAGACTCAGCCAGACTCCCAGTCAATGCCAGTTCGTTGTGAACCACTGACTATGAAGTTTGGCTTCCCAGTAGACAACAAACCTTGCTCTACAAACTCTACACATTGTCAAGTAGGACTGTTCCTTGTTTCTTCTGAAATTAACCTGTGCGTCTCTCTGTGGGATTCCAGTCATCCCGACTTCCTGGGCTACCCCTTTGCTGTTTTCTCCAGCACAAGCTTCAGCCTCAGCCCACAGCCTCATGATCTCCCGCAGCAACTCCCCTAACCAGCACCTCTCTGCCCGGGCCTCTCATCTGTTGTGTCCTCAGCTCGAGCTCCTGCCATAGCCCTCCTGCTCCAGCTCAAGCAGACTCTCTTACCTCTGTCTGCAACAACTCCCTTCAGTATCAATTTATCTACTATGAACATTCTGTAATAAAACCACTGTCCATAACGTTTCTCTGCAGTTTGTTCCCAGTGTATTTCCTCTCCCGCTGTTCGGCAACAGAGCAATCGTAACACCTGAGCACTATAGCCAAAGTGGAGATTCCAATGTGGCTGTAGACCCAAACTACTTAAACAAGAACTGCAAATGTGGACAGAAAAATGTTTAATTGGGACATAGGGTGTGTAACAAAAACAATGCCCATATGTTGGGAGAACAGCACCTGAGCTATATCCAACTCACTTTCTGTTAGGAACCGCTCGAACACACTAATAAGCGAGCGGAAAAAATAACGGACCCAGGTAGCTGGCTTCGGTGCAAGCAGTGGGATTTATTTACAGTGCTAGTAGTGAACAAAATATTTACATGAATGAGGAGAAGTGAGAGGACCAGGTGTCGATCAGCGGTAGCAGGAAACACAGCTAATCTTTTATTTTGGTCCGCCGTGCGTGTAAGAGCGGCCCTGGTCACAGCCCAGATGGCCTGACAATGGGAGATGTGAGTTTGGACAGAGGGAACTGCAATGTCGGTTTCAGCAGAGGACAACAGAGGAGGTTGGTAACCCAGGGATGCCTGGAAAGGGGAAATACTAGTGGCGGAACTGGAGAGGGTATTGTGGGTGTATTCCACCCAGGGCAACAACTGGCTTTTGTCCTCTGGTGAGGAACTGGTGACACAACGGAGGGCGGGTTTCAGCTCC